CTTTCAACTTCAGCACTTATTTCATCAAAGACTAGAACCAAACAGTTCCTGGACTGGGCTTGTCCATGGACAACAATGTGAGTCACACTGAGCTCGATCAAAAGATTTTATTATATCATGAAGACACTGTGCAGTAATTGAAGTATATATATATATATATATATATATATATATATTATTGTAAACAGAAGACACTGTGCAGTAATTGAAGTATATATATATATATTTTACTTTCCTCTTTTTAAATCATAGTTCTACTAGATAATTTACAATCCTAGGAGAAAGGTACTATTTTCTCCCCATTTTCTGGATTAGGAAAATCTGGCTTATTAAGGTCAAAAAACTTTATTATAATGGTACACTGAGAAAAAAATATTAGCAACTCACAACACAGGCAAGAATTAATTTCCCTAAAACAGTAAAAAGCTCCTAGGAATCAAAAGCTCAATAGAAAAATGGGCAAAGAATATAAATAGACTGTTCACAGAAAAGTAACAGCCTTTACTTATATGAAACATGCTTAACTTTACCAATAATAAGATATGCAAATTTAAACTCTACTGAGAAACCATTGCCTAGAAGACTAGCAAAAATCCAAAAGCTTAACAAGTCACTCTATTGGTGCATCCAGGAAGAAAAAAGTACCCTCATGACGTTACTAGTAAGAGTATACATTGGTGATGGTACTGGCACAAAAAGAGAAATATAGATCAATGGAACAGGATAGAATGCCCAGAGATAAACCCACACACATATGGCCACCTTATCTTTGATAAAGGAGGCAAGAGTATACAATGGAGAAAAGACAGCCTCTTCAAAAAGTGGTGCTCGGAAAACTGGACAGCTACATGTAAAAGAATGAAATTAGAACACTCCCTAACACCATACACAAAAATAAACTCAAAATGGATTAAAGACCTAAATGTAAGGCCAGACACTATAAAACTCTTAGAGGAAAACATAGGCAGAACACTCTATGACATAAATCACAGCAAGATCCTTTTTGACCCACCTCCTAGAGAAATGGAAATAAAAACAAAAATAAACAAATGGGACCTAATGAAACTTAAAAGCTTTTGCACAGCAAAGGAAACCATAAACAAGACAAAAAGACAACCCTCAGAATGGGAGAAAATATTTGCAAATGAAGCAACTGACAAAGGATTAATCTCCAAAATATACAAGCAGCTCATGCAGCTCAATATTAAAAAAACAAACAACCCAATCCAAAAAGGGGCAGAAGACCTAAATAGACATTTCTCCAAAGAAGATATACAGATTGCCAACAAACACATGAAAGGATGCTCAACATCAATGATCACTAGAGAAATGCAAATCAAAACTACAATGAGGTATCACCTCACACCAGTCAGAATGGCCATCATCAAAAAATCTACAAACAATAAATGCTGGAGAGGGTGTGGAGAAAAGGGAACCCTCTTGCACTGTTGGTGGGAATGTAAATTGATACAGCCACTATGGAGAACAGTACAGATGTTCCTTAAAAAACTAAAAATAGAACTAATAGAATAGAAATAAGAATACGACCCAGCAATCCCACTACTAAGCATATACCCTGAGAAAACCATAGTTCAAAAAGAGTCATGCACCCCAATGTTCACTGCAGCTCTATTTACAATAACCAGGACATGGAAACAACCTAAGTGTCCATCAACAGATGAATGGATACATAAGATGTGACACATATATATAATGGAATATTACTCAGCCATAAAAAGAAATGAAATTGAGTTATTTGTAGTGAGCTGGATGGATCCAAAGTCTGTCATACAGGGTGAAGTAAGTCAGAAAGAGAAAAACAAATACCGAATGCTAACATATTCACTTTGAATGCTAACTGATTCACCTTGTTATACAGCAGAAACTAACACAACATTGTAAAGCAATTATACTCCAAGAAAGATGTTTAAAAAAAAAAAAGAGTATATGTTGGTGGAAGGCAGATACCCTTTAGGATAATCATTAACGCTTTTCACAAATATCCTTCCCTATCTATTTCAAGGTATACTATACCATTTGCTTGAAGTTAGACACTGTTATATAATTTGCTTTAGCCAGGGAAATGTGAGCAAAAGTGACATACTATGTCTTTGGGGCAGAAGTTTTAAGAGCCAGAATGCAATCTCCTATGTTCTCTTTCATTTGTTATTTTTTTCTTTCCCTCTACCACCAATATTGGCAATGTTCTAGAAGCTGGCTGATCCCTTAGCCTGGGTTGCAGAGAAGATAACTTGAAGCAGAACACTTCAACATACAGGATGATAAGCAGCATAAGCAAAATAAACCTTTGTTGTTTTAAGCCACTGATAAATGGTGAGCAGTATTTACTAAAATTACAAATGCATATCCCCTCAGATATACTTGCACACAGCAAAATGACATACATAAAAGGTAATCATTTGCAACATGGTTTATTACAGCAAATGACCAGAAACAACCAAATGAACATCAACAGAAGACTAGTTAAATACTTGCAGTACATTCATACAGTGAAATATTATGCACCCGTTTAAAAAGAAAAACATTCTCTTAGAGCTAATATGGAAGAATCTCCAAGTGAAAAAGAAAGATGTTCCCAGTGTGTATAGTATACCATCTTTTTGTTTCTAAGAAAAGGGGGGGGGATTAGAAAATACATTCATATTTACTTACACCTATAAGGAAATTCTATAATAATAAGAAACTAACAAAAATTATCTTAGGGCAGATAGGTGGAACTTCCAATTATTCAGAAAAAAAAAAATTCTTGGTGTCATACTTAACTTCTTACTGTCTTGCAACCTCAATCAATCTGCCAACAAATCTCATCTTAAGTATAAATGGTATGCTTCTGCCTCTATCTTAAAGTGCTATCAGATCCGTCTTTAAACTCTGGCTTATCTTCCTCCTCTTGGGCACATCTAATCAACTTCCAGTTACATGACCTGTGTTAAGAATATATTTACTGTTGTTCTGGTATTCAATTCAGTTGCAATGGTTTTTGGTTACTCTTAAATAAACCATGCTTTTCTCTAAATGATCCCAAGCTTTGGCAACTGTTTTTAGCTATTCTTTTTGAGAGACTCTGAGCTGCCTCTTAAAAAGTCATAACAAACTGCTCCAATATATTCTTGTTTTTCTCATTCAGAACTTTTCTTCTACATGGAAGTTATTTTACTTTCCTTTATTATAAGAATTATAAGACCCTTACTCTGAAAAATTAGAAATAAAAAATTGATGGGAAATCTCTTCCTTATAGTAGTATGCCAACTAATGAATGTAGAAAGGATAACGGAAATAGAAAGTTACCATTTGGCAACCACCATTATTGGTGGTAGATTCAGACAGGAGTCATACATGGATACTTAGCCTGTACATGGAGGTTTGATGAGGAACAAGATACTGGCATGGTCTCAGAGTATTGTACCACAGAACACTTACCAATTACAAAAGGAAAAATGGTGTCAGAACAGTATAGAAACCTGGCTGATACAAACAAAACTAGGTGATTTTTTTTTTTTTTTGGCTATGCCGTGTGGCATGCGGGATCTTAGTTCCCCGACCAGGGATCAAATCAGTGCCCCCTGCATTGGGAGCATGAAGTCTTAACCATTTGGACTGCCAGGGAAGTTCCTTAACTAGGTGATTAAAGTTAACATTACAGGGGGTAGGACAGGTTGACAACATGTACTTTCTGATGCAGTTCACTAAAATGAGTTCAACATCATTTTTGTGTAATCCCTGCCAAGAAAGTATGGCCTGAGTCTGGACATGAGGAAAAACTGGATGGACCCAAAATGAAGAATATGTTACCAAATGAAAGGCCTGTACTATCTATTGAAGATGTGAAAGACTGAGGAACTGGTCCAGATTAAGGAAGATTAAGAGACATGACTGCTAAATGCAACATGTCAGCCCGGATTGTATCCTGGACCAGAAAAGAGACATTGTTGAGACAGTTGGCAAAATTTGCATGGGGACTTGATGAAAGTATTGTCATTGTTGATTTCTTGATTTGGATAGTTATATTGTGGTTATACTGGAGAGTAGTCTTGTTTTTGGAAAATACAAACAGGAGAACATCATGCCTCCAACCTTCTCTCAAATGGTTCAGAAAAAAGATTAATCATAATGGATGGAGGGCGATGAAGCAAAAATGTTGTAAAATGTCAACAACGGAGGCATCTTGGTGAGGAGGATATGGGAGTTCTTTACTATTTTGGCAACATTTTTCTAAGTTTGAAATTATTTCAAAATAAATTACTTTTTAAGTGTGTTTACACATGTGAACATGCTTGCATTTTTAGTATCTGCCAGGTATTATACTACAGACAGCCACCTGTCATCATTTTAAAATCTCCTTTCACTAACACAACATTGTAAAGCAATTATCCTCCAATAACGATGTTAAATTAAATAAATAAATAAAGTAAAAACCTCCTTTCTGCCTGAAAAGTGACTACTGACACACAGATAAGGACACTTCAAACTTGCAACGCTGCAAATGAAAAATATTTCTATTTTTACTTTTTTACACTGTTTTAGATATTAATGTGTTGATGTTTGGGACCTTAAATTAGGGGAGCCCGTAGAAACTTCTGAACACTAACTTTCTGAGTAAAATTTCTGGCCCTGCAAAGGTCAGCCAGTGGTACTTGAACTGGCTTGCCAAGGGAAACAACTAATCCTAAGAGGCCCTGAAATAGTCTTCTATCCTAAACTCAAAATAAAATGGCCTCACAGGTGATAATGGTACTGAAAATAGCATTTAATTTTACTTTCAGTCTCTTAACCCACTAGGTCTACTTGATTTCCATTAATCAGCATAGAGGGAAGCCAATGGCTACCTGCCCATCTCTTAAGGCTCTAGCTTACTTATCATGCATTCCCAGAAGCACACTGTAAGATGACTAATCACTGACTGCTTCTTCAGCACCATATGTCTCCCAATTTCAAAGGAAAAACTGTCCCAACTAGAACCAGAACAACAGACTTCCTACCTCCTGCAGCTGGAGTCGAACCTTGGTAACTGCTCGGATCCAGTGCGCTCTGGCTTGGGTAAATGGTGAAGATGCACTCTCCTCGGGAAAACTTGTAACAGAGAAAAGAATGTTCCTTAAAAATCAGCCCAGGCCACAAGATGACAGTGCTCAAGGCAAAACTGCCAAATACCTAAAATTAAAAGGTTTGTTGTATTCATGCCTATACTTATCTAGTGATTCAAGCCACTAAAACAGCATAGTCCTGAATATCCAATGTGAAAAAAATTCCTAAAATGACAAGTCCTTTTAGCTTTTCATCTGTTCCCTCTCTTTCTTCCCACTTTTCCACTCACCTGATGAGGCAACTCATTGGGACAGTCAGGGATCAGGATACCAGAAGCAATGGCAAGGGCCCTAAGTCAATGACTAACATAGAAACCATGCAGAGAGGTGTGGAGTAACCCTCTCCCCCTACCTCTCAAGACCACCAGTCTCCCTTGATGGTTCTACATAGCATCCTTAGGGCAGAATTTTGTTCCTGCAAAGCGTTCCTGCTCCACTAAGCATTTTGGAAGGCTTTCCAATTCCTAGACTACATCAAAGTGCTAAGAAAAAAGGCAGAGCCCTTGTCCTGCTATGATCTTGTTCCTTGAGCTGCCTCAGGACCACCCTCAGTGAAAGGAACAATAAATATAACAAAGTAGCTTTGAGACAGAAACACTAACCTGTATTAGAACAAATCATCATCATCTTAACTGTGGAATAGTGGTTAATTCTTGGTGATGATGCTTCTCCTCTCTCTCACTGGGGTCAACTGACAAGGCAGTAAAAAAGGACCCACCATCTAGACACATAAGATATATGCTAGGCTCTGATGCCACCTAACTGGTTCAATTGTTTTAAAACATTTGTGGGCATTTCTGAAACTGGCCTGGACGTCACTTGCACAGCTAGGATCTGGGAGGACAGAGCCATTAGAGAAGGACAGGCACCTTCTGCTGCTCAACCAAAAACTCTACCCAGACAACAGTATCTTTAAAGTCCAACGTCGACAAAGAGCTATCTTTCTGTGGGTCGTCAACCCAGTGAAAAAGCTGGCCCAGAACTCAGTCTCCCTGATGTCTTGTCTACTAGATGAGCCACCAGAGATGATTAAAAATCAGGAAAACAAACAGAAAATAAGTTTCTACCTTCAAGTGGTGGAGTAGAGGCATCAACCATTCTCTAACTTTTACCACATAGTCAGCATTCACTGCTCTGATCTTCCCATGACCTTGAAATTTGAGAATTTAAGTCACACCTAGCCCTTATCACTCTACCCCAGTGGTTTTCAACTAGGGACAGTTCTGCCCCTCAGGAGAAATCTGACAATATCTGGAGACATTTTTGGTTGTCACACTGAGAGTTGCTCCAGGCATCTAGTGTGCAGAGGCTAAGGATGCTGCTAAAATCCTACAATGCATACAACAGCTCCCTGTAACAAAGCATTATCTGGTTAAAAATGTCAACAGTGCTAAGAATGAGAAACCCTGCTCTGCCCCAACTTATCAGCAACTCACTGACCAATTTAGCTCAGTAAGAACAATACTCAAACTCTGTACTAAGCCTCATTATGTGACTGTTAAAAGGACAAGTTTTAAATTTTTCTCCTTATGGGTACCAACTGCCAGACATACTGCTAGGCCCCAGGGAGACAGAAGGGTGGGTTAGATCTGGCTTCTAGACCAATTCTTTAACTCTTTCCCA